TTTTTATGTATATTGTATTATGCACAATAAAAACTTTTTAATATTCTTATGAATTATAGATAAAATAACATAATTGAAAATTTGTTTACAATCCAACATAATATTTTTAAGTATTGTAAGAATAGAGAAATGAATAAGATTAATCAAACAAGGAGAGAAACTTTTTTTCTTTTTAATTTAATCACTGTATAAATTTATGTAAAAGGAAATATAATTCATCTTATTAAACATAAAATAGATAAAAATTGCTTAATCCTTCCACATTTTTAAAGTTCATTTTACATTTTACCGTAACTCGTGTCATACCAGAATCATTTAGTTTCACCCAAAAAACGTCGTATTTGTGTTTCTTCATGTCATTTATGTCAATGTCCATATCTCACACCACCGTGTATCACAATGGCGAAGTTGTATTTTGTCTAAAATTGTGTTTCTTCCTCTTCTTTCCTTTGTGCAATCCAAAATTATTTAATTGCTTCCAGCCCAGTAACTAGGACTATATCCAGGCTTTGCCTGAGCTTTATTTTGGGAACTTGTATTTGACCTTTGGCCTGTGCTGCTACCACCATCTTGATGAAGTGGCTGATGCAACTGATGGGGCATAGTTGGGATAAACAAATGTGTTCCAAATGCACCAGGCAAACCAGCATTTTGACTGCCAGTCAGGCCAAACGGCGGAGGAGTTGCCGAATGAAAAGTTTGTTTGTCATAGGACTAAAATAACATGTCAATATATTATCTTTTTTGAAGAAGTTATTAGACGAGATTTATTTATTTCACCCAATGTATTTCGTACCTAATGAATTTGTTACTTCTTTTTTTTGTAAATTTAACAGGATTAACTTAAGTAGTACTATAAATTGAATTTATTGCTTTTTTGCAATAAATATATTGTCTAAATTATATTGTTAACATATTATCTATGAAAATTGAATTGAAAGCGAAATACTTACAGTAAAATAAATACATCTTTCTCTATTACAGTCGATTTTGTATAACTACTTACATTCACTTTGCCAAGAGCCACATGACTCTTTGGGTACATCGTTGCACTTATATCGGTAGCTGATGATCCACCAGTATTAGTATTTCCAGTAGATGTTCCTGTTTTACCAGTCTGTGTACTGGTATAACTGTTCCCTGCGCCCTTATATTCCGCAGAAGGACCTGCAGATGCTAGAGCATCGTAGCCTGCACCAGCTCCATATCCAGATCCATAACTACCCGGTTTAGCAGTATATGCACCGCTATTCGTACCCGCATTACCGGCAGTAGCAATCTGCTGCAATAAATTGTTTTGATAAATGTAATGCAGATTTTTATTTCAGTTTAATCGCTGTAAACGAAAATAATTTGTTACTTCAAATTTAGTTAACTTACAGGATAAATTGCAGCAGGAGTTCCATACTGAAAAGCACCTGGCATTATTCCACTACCATATGCGAAGTATGCATATGTTGGAGGAAGTGCAGGATTCATCATCGGTTGCTGATGCTGTGTAGCAGTCTGCAAATAATAGAGATAAAAGAAAAAGAATCACTTGAATCTGGTATGAATATAGTCATTGATCACTATTAAAATAGTTATCCAAGTATTGCGTATCGCAGCAACGTTGTTAAGCTAATTGTCAAATCTACTAAGTGCTTGAACCTCACCTGTTGTGACATAGTGGATGGAACTGGAGATGCATTGCTGTCGCTTCTGGCAAATCGGGCGTCGCTAATACTGGTATAGGCTCCTTGTACACCCTGCACCCCTTGGACACCTTGCACACCGGAAAGTGCATCTCCTCGTCCTCCACCGAGACTGGTAGCAGGGCCGGTTGTCTGATAGCCCAAAGCCGCGTCATAGTAACCAGTAGTTGGCTGCAGGTTAGTCAGGAAGGCCAAACACAAAACTACATGCATACACTGTGTACTCCAAATACAAGAAGGCTAACTAATAGCTAATTCTACGCGTACTGGGTTTAAGGTGGATAACATGCGGTTTCAGTTGTATCTGTCTCCTTACTTTTAATTTTATCAATTAAAAAAGACAAATAGATGAATAACAATATATATGTCCAAACGTATAGATTTTTAATCTCTTGTGTCTGCTTATTCTTTTTGGTATATCTATTGTTATTAACAATCATAATGATGATGATGATGATGATGATGATGATAGTAATAGTAACGTACAAACAAAATACGCATTCTTTAAGAAAGTCTATGAAACAAAATACAACTTGACCACTTGGAAATTACAGTATTATATATTGTCATACAATTTCAAATACGTGATATGAGGTATGGAACAACTGAAATCATAAGAAGGAAAGGAAGAAAAATGTATAAACTACAATATATCTATGATCAAAACGGTATATAATATATCAATAAAAGTCTAACTTCGAAATTATTAGACTTTCCAAGTATACCTTCTCCGAATTGATCATAAACGGTTTTATTTTTCTACGAAATAGTGTATCAGAAATTAAAACCTCTCCAATCATTGATTGATGCGACACATCTCACTATGGATCAATACAGTAAACTTCTTGTGCCATCATGAGGACGTGAATAGATATTCATAATTCCTTTAAAAAAATATTGAAGTAACGAGCAGCTACCAAGCAGTAAAGAAACGATTACTTCAGCATTCTTTTTACTAGGTGATCATAACATAAAATAGAATAGCACGCTTCAGAGTAGTACACTCGAGATATATCATCCATACTTTTAAGATGCAAATAACTATATATAACTAAAATATTTTGTCTTTATTTTAATATTTTATAAAACCTGAATTAAAATTTATAAATATAACTTTTCTTAAGTGTACATTACTCTAAAGAAGCAATTTAATCAAATCATGTACAAATTATATACAGAAATAATTTATCAGATCTAATTTGTACTTGACTCGGTTGCAGAAATAAATTGATCAATAAAATAACTGACCATGTGTGGTATTCTTTGTTGCATAAGTTGCAATTCCTCGTAACTGTACATTGGTTGCTGAAACGCATAAGGTACACCTTGGCTCATAATATATTGGTGACTTAACATCGGTGTCATGCTGCCAGCTGCACCACCACCTGTCATATTTCCAGTTCCACTACTACCCGTCACTACACCACTCGATGTACTTTTCGGCACCGCTGATTAAAAATTACATTATATACTTTTCGTTTTCGTTTGATTTATTTATACATTAATCTAATATACTTAATATGCGTGGCATATACGTTCTACTCACCATTAGAATTAGTTACTTTAGTCTGGGAACTATTTACGGAGGCAGAACTAAGACCCAAAGTGGGTGCCGTTGTAGTCGCAAGAGAACTATTGGTTGTCGTTGTGTTACTATCATATTGAGAATCTTTTGTCGCATTACTGTTTAATTTGTGATTATGAGACACCGTTTGTGGTTGGCTTGCATATGTACCATACGCACTCGCGTACACCTATAATTGTTATTTAATAATTTCATACGTGTGGTAATCTGAATTCATTTTAATCATGCTAAATTCTTTAAAAGGTGCATTTATTTTAAAATTAGACACTTACAGATTGTGCTGCACTTTGATAAGCTCCAGAAGTCTGTGTAATAGGTGAAGTAAATGTCGTAGCTGATGGTTGGTATGCTTGTGGTGTTGACTGAAATGAAGATGATCCTTGATAACCACTTGTTTGATACCCTGTACTACTGTTTGATACAGTATTTGTCGCTACAGACTGTGCTTGGTATTGTGACGTTGTAGTAGGTACATATCCACTTGCAGATTGATAAACCTATAATCATAATTAAACAAAATATTACAACTGTAGGTATATTAATTGTAATTAAACTTGTTTTCAAAACTTTAGATTAGAAATAAGTAGATAGAACAATTACATGAATACAGTACACACCATTTACAGATTTAACATTAAAATTTTAATAATGTGAATGCACAGTATGATAGGCTAATGTAATATAAAGTTATATGTTCTAATTTATTTTAAATATCCTTTTGACGTAACATCTCCAATTTACAACAATATAAACTTCTAATAAAATTCTATACAGGGTGTTTCTAAATTATATCGCACAAATAATAGGATGTATATAACTCATTAAACTGAGTAAAAAAAGTTCAATAAACATGGGTTGAAAGCTCAATAATTTCCAAAATAAAAATAGATTTTGTTTAAAAAATATCATATCACAATGGGAGGTATTTGACCATGAAATGTCCTTGAAACATCGTACTAAGTACACATAACAATTCTTAAATAGAACCCTATACTTTCTATTCCATATTTTTGAAACCCACATTCAGACGCTTCCAAACTATAGAAATGAAATTTTTCGCATAAGTTATTATTAAGGTATCAGCATCCAAAGTGCCGGAAAGTAATTTATAGTGAGAAATAATTTTATAACGACTAACAGAAAAAGATATGAGAGTGAATAATAATAATTATTAAAGACATTAATTTCAATACTGTTGTAAATTGCATAGAAAAATGTGTATGCTCATTTTTACTTTAGACAAACCCGAAAAAATTAGTTTAAAATCAACTACCTCGTAGGTATAATGTTTGTCAGTACTATACTTTAATTTCAATTACCTGATTAGTAGTCGTTCGTTGATTATAACCAGAAGTTGCAGATGCTGGCGCAGAAGGCGAAGCTTGACTGAAAGTTGATGTGTTGGATTGAGGGAAAGATGAGGAAGAATTATAGCTTGCTTGTGTAACAGTCGACGTCGCGGAGTAACTATTGGCACTAGTGCCAGACACAGTTTGAAAAGATGACTGAGCAGATTGAGCATTTGTGGAATATGTATTGTAGGTGCTTGGTGCCGCAGTAGGTGCTTGGAACGACGACTTTTGAGACTGGTAAGTTGTCGCTGTACCATATGTTGGTGCACTTCCTGGTGAAACTTGCGAAGTAAAATCTTGTTTCGTTATATCTAATGTTTGTCCAGTACTATTACCACGAGTAGTGAAGCTTTGAGCGTTTATTGAATGTTCGCTTGAAACTGGTAAATTGTCACTATTTGATAACTGAAAAAATTGTATTATTCAAACATTATATAAGAGTAACAAAAATCTTTAGTAATTACGTATTATAACGTGTTAGGAAAATACAAATTATTTACCATCTGAGATGTAGTATTAAAAGGTGTTGTTGAAGTTTGTGTTGTTTCGATGTCCAAAGAATTATTTGTATTGGCAGTGTTTACGGCATTCGAAGTAGAAGTGACATCCGCACTAGCAATCGCATTACTGGCTGCATTGAATTTTTCATTCGCAGACCCATCAAGAGAACTTGAATCGCTACCGAATTCTAAAGCACCAAATTGAACATCAAGAAATCCAATTCCGCTATTTACGGCATCGCCTGGCATTTCTACAGCACTAGATGGAATCTTCGATGGTGGTGGAACTCGCGGACGTTGTTTCATCTGTCTTTGCGGCTAATAAATGTGCAAAATATTTCAAAATAAGTATAATCACCTTTTAATTATTTTATAAAATAAATAAATTATTTAATTTATATATAAGAGATAATAAAAAGGAATAATAAATTAGACAATTTAATTACAACTTAATTACCTGATTAGATATCGATGATGAGAAAGTTGTTTGTCCAGCCGTTTTCAAATTTTCACTCGTCTGTTGGGTAAGTTGTGTCAAATACTGTGTCTGTGCAGCTGTTAATACTCCGCCACTCATAGCATTTGGTTGTTGTGATAATTGCATTGTTGGTAAATTCAAAACAGGTTGTTGCTGTTGAGACTGTTGAATCAATGTTTGTTGTTGTATTGGTGATATTTCCGGTAATTTTGGTAGTTCCTATAATGTAAATTTAAAAAAAAATCGTCGATATTTTAAATTATATTATAAACGAAATATAGCACAGTAAGTATATACATACTTCTTGTTGTATTAATGTCAAATTTACATTCTGATTGGGTTGCACTGACTGAAGATCTTGAACTTTTGGTTCTTCTACAGTGGGTGCAGGCTCTGCTATGGATGTGCTCGGTGTAAAAACTTTTGTATCTGCCAATGAACCTGTGTATTCTTCATTGTCCCAGTCTTCTGTAGAATCCAAATTATTCCATGCATCTATTCGTATACATTACCCATTGATAAAACAAGTATTTAAAATAATTTAAAACATTTATAACTAAAATTTATAAAAAAGCTTACCCATCTTTGGTTCCTGAACAGTCTGTTGTTGTTCATCATTACCTGTCCATGTATCGATTGATCGATTATAATTGTGGGGTGATGAAGTTGATGATGGGTCATTACGATTGGCAAATGTTCTTGGACCAAGTCCTCTTCCTCCACCTCGTCCACCTCGTCCCGGTCTTCCTGAACCACCCCTTCCTCTTCTGTTACCACTATAGCTGCCATCGCGAACACCGTCTTCAATATTTCTTTCGTTTTCTTTATTTTCTCTGCCACGCCCTGAATGAAGATTACTTATAAAATTTTCACTTATATGACAAAATATTAACAATAAACCTGCCGAGACCAGTCAAATTGACCGTTCAAAACTTTTGCGTACAATTTCTCACATAAAACGTTATCATATCGCAATTTCTTTTTGCAACTTACCCTAAAATATGTATACATGCTATTTTTCAGTATTTACTTCTCTTTTCTTTTTTTTTCCGAGAAATTTACGTAAGGTACCCTACCTACCACGACCGGTCATTTTGACCGGTCGAAGCGTTTGATATTTACTCTTCTAAACTTGAAAAATTGTTACAACGGAAAAGCTATCCGAATGTAGCATATTTTGAGAGAGGATTAATTTCTTTATTATATTATTTGAAGGAGAATAGTTGATATTAATGTGTAGTGAAACATGATGTGCACTGGTAACCAGAGACAATCTTTTTACGAGCGTTTCACTAACCAAAAAATTAATTGCAAAAAATCTGCTATTGTTGGAATTATTCCAGGAAAGAAGTGCGAATTCTCCGAATGTGCAAAACAGGTCAAATTATATAACTCTCACTATATATAAAAGCAAGTCAAACAAATAACTCAACTCAACAGAAATCGATAGAAGTGATAACCATATATCGAAAATTTTATAATAACACAAAATTTGGTGTAGTCATGACAGACTAAATGACAAGAAAATGCTGCATAAAATCAAAATCTAATAGATGGTCCCTCCAACTCTTTATAAATATTCTGGTTCTAACTGGAATAAACGCTTGAATTTTATATAAAGATACAATAGGAGAAAAAAATGTTAAGGCAGGAATTTTTATTCCAGTTAACCACACACACTTGATGTTGAATATTGAGAATCGCGGGAGGAAAAACACAGCGAAAATTCAACAAGTTCAGACACAAATGTGCGAAAAACTTGCCAAATAAGATATTGTAAAGATAATAAAACTACGAAAATCTGTTAGAAATGTAAAAAATATTTATGCAGCAAATGTATACTTGGAACATTAATATTTTGCAAAAATGCTATAAAGACAAATAAGATAATTATTATTTTATTATTTATAATGTTTATAAATATATAATGTATATGTATGTATATGTGTATGTACGCATATGTGATAACTATGTTTAAAATAGTTCTGTAAAATAATATGTCTAAGTTCTTTATTTTTATTTTTGTTGTCTCTGTTAATTCTCTTATCAAACATATAATTGAAATGACAAAAAAATTAATTTATTTGCCATTTTATGATAGTTATTGTATTTGGTACTTAATCCAGTACCCAAATGATTATTACTTATACTGGATTGTAAAAAAATATAGTTTTTTTAGAGAACCAGTCATTTTGACGATTTATGGTACAAATAGGTAGACACAAAATGTTGGTAGATCTAGCACTAAACAATGTAATATTGCTGTTAAAAAGATATTATTTGTATAAAATGTATGTAAATTAATACAAATATTAAAAATTTGAAGTATGAATTCCTTTCTATAATATACAAATTATATATTTATAACCTTGTTTTCAAGTGTTATGGATAGATGTAATTTAAATAAAAAAGTATCTACTTAATTCAATGTTTAATAATCTTTTAGAAACGAATTAAACCAGCTTAATCAACCTAGTGTTACTGAATATATAGTACTTTTGTAAACTTACATCCACGATTGTCATGATTAGCACGTCCTCGCATACGAGGTGGTCCACCCCCTCGTTGATTACGTCGTTCATCCCAATCACCACCTTCATCTTGACCACCAGAGGCATCTATATTTTGCTTGGAACCACTAGGTTGACGAGGCTTTTTCTTTTTTACTTCCCACTCTGGTTTCACTCCTTCCAGCAAATCATTAACAGCACGTTCAAAATCTCCGTCGCTATCATGCAAAGCTATAACAACTTCATCTTCTGAACGTCTGGTCATGTCCATGACCTGCTTTATACGCTCTTTCAAAATAGGATCTTCGCCACTACCCATTCTAGTGTCAATGATTTGTGTATGCCGTGTCTGAACAGTGTTTGGCTAAAAAGCCATAGTTTTTAATAAAGAATTCTCAATAACATAAAGCTACAAAATATATACGTAAAAAAGAATTCTGGTAAAAGTAATTAGTTTCACTGACCTGTGCTTTTTCATGTTTTGTTGAATCTGATGATTTAGTTTGATGATGATCTGATTTTCCATGTTGTTGTGAAGATTTGTTTTTGTTGGTGCTTCTCCCGCCGGAGGACACCGATTTGTTGCTTGAACTCATTGCCAACTAAAATCCCACACACCTCTATCACTCACCTATCACACTATATACACTCTCTATTTACAGTCTGTAACAAAACAAACATTTGATTTCATATTTCCGATACAAATAAATCGTCAAAAATTGAATTTGAAAACACACGTTATAAATATATTAATAAACGTACTGTTATATTTGCTTTAAATTACAAGAATGTCTTACAAGTTTTTAAACTTAAATTAGTTTCATTTTACTCAGTTTATAAATTCTATTGTACATTATAAGTAAATATAATTCTTTAACTACTGAAATATAAATGTCAATAATAATATGTGTTCAAACTATTACTAATTAAAATTTAGAATTTCTAATTTAGGACAGTTATAATTTCAATAAAATTGAAACCATTTCATTATTCAGATTTTATTATAATGGATTAAATAATAAAACAATTAAATA